ACTGAGTGGAGGTCAGTGGAGGGATTGGCAGAGAGGGGTGGAGGACACTGAGTGGAGGCCAGTGGAGGGATTGGCAGAGAGGGGTGGAGGACACTGAGTGGAGGTCAGTGGAGGGATTGGCAGAGAGGGGTGGAGGACACTGAGTGGAGGTCAGTGGAGGGATTGGCATAGAGGGGTGGAGGACACTGAGCGGAGGTCAGTGGAGGGATTGGCAGAGAGGGGTGGTAGATACAGAACGGTTAGTAAGGTGGATAAGTCTGGCAGCATGATGAAAAAAGGCTCTGGACAGCATCGGGAACTGTAAGAGTTAAAAAAAAATTTAAATGCAAACGCGATAAACGTGCTTCACCGCGTTTACAAGCGTTTTGCATTTGAAACGCAAATAAAATCAACTGCTGAACGCAAGTTTTCTGCATTTAAAAATACAACTGTAAACTCAACTGCCTGTAAACGACTCTGTGTACACGGACACATAGGAAAACATTAGGGTGAGTTCAGGGGCTGCTGAAAAAACCGCTGAACAGTTCCTAAACGTGAGTTTATCAGCTGCAGTGTACAAGAGCCCTAAGAGTATAAATACAGGCTAAACTACGATGAAAGAGTTAAAAAAAACATTTTTTGTTGATCCTGTAGAAAACAGCTGAGTGCATGGAAATGTATTAATAATGGCCCGCTGGTTTTTATAGAGAACAAATGACCCCGGGCTTATTATCCCATGTTATTCCCAACACTGTGATCTTATCCAAGCTGTTTATCATTTTGTGGCCTCTATATAAAGCAGTCTTTTCTAAACCTGACTCTCTGTTCTTCAAAGGAATCTCATTTCACTGGTCAGTACTCGATCTTCATCACGGAGACATCCAGTGTCTTGCCAACACTTAGGGAAAGATTTATATTCCCTCATTAAATCAAAGTTATGAAGATCTAATGCTAAAAAGGCAGAGTCCTTTGAACGGCGCTGGCATGCTGCAAGCTAAGTGACGTTCTTCGTTTAATGGCTTGCATAACCTCTACAAACTCCCAAGCTGAAGAACCTAATCCCTCTCCCGCCTGTGAGACATGTATGCCTGGTCTCCTAGTAATACGGTGATTGGTGCTTAGTGACCTGCAATCTGCATCAGGGCATCAAAGCAAAGTGAAGAAAAGGGGCTTACGTCTGAATAGCAATCGCTAGGACTGTGGAAGAAACATTAGTGCGGGTCTTACAGAGCCGGTCCAAAGCTGGCATACACGTATAAAACGTAAAAGATACGGGAATCCCTACGCTGGGCTATTGTTTTATGACAGCCAGTGCTGGCTGTCATGATACCCAGAGGCGGACTGACCATTTGAGCACTCGGGCACTGCCCGAGGGCCCGGGGTCAGTAGGGGGCCCCAGGAAATGCCCCTGGTACCTTTTTTATAGGCTTTTTTGAGTGTGGGCAAGGACACAGGGGCCCCATGATCCCCTATTGCCCGGGGGCCCCATGAGTTGTCAGTCCGCCCCTGATGATACCCGAACAGTGTCTGGATGCAGATGCTGTTTAGCCAATGATTTTTCAACAGGCTCCTTTGAAAAAAGTTGAACAATCAACTTTTGCTGAATAAAGTGGTGCTGGCGGGACCGTACACTGCTTGAATCTCAGGTAATCCCGCAGGAATTGGTGGAAATTTGAGCAATGTATGGTCGCATTGAGACAGCAATTTGTTTTAAAGAAACTGTGATGGTTAAAATTAGGGATGCACAGATATATCGGGCGCCGAAAATTGTCTGCTGATAGAAAAAAAAAAAGAAGGTGCCGATAAAGATAATTGACTTCAATGCAAAACGCATCCCATTGATTTCACTGAAAAAGTTGCCTCCTGCTGACTCCAATACAAAATCGCGCCCCGCTGACTCCAAGGCAAAATCGCGCCCCGCTGACTCCAAGGCAAAATCGCGCCCCGCTGACTCCACGGCAAAATCGCGCCCCGCTGACTCCACTGCAAAATCGCGCCCCGCTGACTCCACTGCAAAATCGCGCCCCGCTGACTCCAAGGCAAAATCGCGCCCCGCTGACTCCAAGGCAAAATCGCGCCCCGCTGACTCCACGGCAAAATCGCGCCCCGCTGACTCCACGGCAAAATCGCGCCCCGCTGACTCCACGGCAAAATCGCGCCCCGCTGACTCCACGGCAAAATCGCGCCCCGCTGACTCCACGGCAAAATCGCGCCCCGCTGACTCCACGGCAAAATCGCGCCCCGCTGACTCCACGGCAAAATCGCGCCCCGCTGACTCCACGGCAAAATCGCGCCCCGCTGACTCCACGGCAAAATCGCGCCCCGCTGACTCCACGGCAAAATCGCGCCCCGCTGACTCCACGGCAAAATCGCGCCCCGCTGACTCCACGGCAAAATCGCGCCCCGCTGACTCCACTGCAAAATCGCGCCCCGCTGACTCCACTGCAAAATCGCGCCCCGCTGACTCCACTGCAAAATCGCGCCCCGCTGACTCCACTGCAAAATCGCGCCCCGCTGACTCCAAGGCAAAATCGCGCCCCGCTGACTCCAAGGCAAAATCGCGCCCCGCTGACTCCAAGGCAAAATCGCGCCCCGCTGACTCCAAGGCAAAATCGCGCCCCGCTGACTCCAAGGCAAAATCGCGCCCCGCTGACTTCAATGCAAAAATCGCGTCCCGCTGACTTCAATGCAAAATCACGTCCAATTGATTTCATTGACTCAGCGGCTAGACTCATCCACCTCACCAACCGCTCCACATCTGCCTCCCCCCTCTGCCAATCCCTTCATTGGCTCCCGATTGCCCAACGCATCAAGTTCAAACTGCTAACTCTGACCTACAAAGCCATTCACAACGCCGCCCCAAACTACATAACTGACCTGATACCCAAATACTACCCTACCCGTGCCCTCCGCTCCTCACAGGACCTCCTACTCTCTAGCTCCCTGGTCTCCTCCTCCCACGCCCGATTGCAGGACTTCTCTAGGACTTTCCCCCATCCTCTGGAACTCCCTACCCCAATCCATCAGACTGTCACCTACCCTCCTCACCTTCAGGCACACCCTGAAAACCCTCCTCTTCAGGGAAGCCTACCCCAACCTCACCTAACAGCCGACCTCACCTAACAACTAACCTCCTCCACTCCTCCCACCACTCCATCCCCCCACAGCCATCTCCTCCTGTACCACCTTCCCCTCCCTCCTAGATTGTAAGCTCGAAAGAGCAGAGCCCTCGAACCCCTCGTGTATTGTATTGTTACTGTCTTGTCTCATGTTCTGTCCCCCTTGCTACTGTACAGCTCTGAGCATACCCTTGGGCGCTATATAAATACTGTATAATAATTGAAAAAAATTGCGTCCCATTGACATCATTGCAAAATCTCTTCCCACTGACGTCAATGCAAAATCGCTTCCCATTGATGTCAATGCAAAATCGCTTCCCATTGATGTCAATGCAAAATCGCTTCCCATTGATGTCAATGCAAAATCGCTTCCCATTGACGTCAATGCAAAATCGTGTCCCACTGACTTCACTGCAAAACCGCTCCCTATTGACGTCAATGCAAAACCGCTCCCTATTGACGTCAATGCAAAAACACCTCTAAGTTTTTACATTTTATATATATTTCACTTTCTGTCCAATTTTTGTGCGTTACTTTCAATAAAAGTTATTTCATGTTACTGATGGTATTTTTAAAATTCATATTCATTTAAATTCATGATATTAAGTCGAATATAATATAATTATATATAAAAAAAATATAAAAAAAAAAAAAAAACTGTTTCAGTTTTGGTTTTCCGCTCAGCGCATCCTGAATTTTTGGTTTCAGTCCAGAATGTTTGTCTTGGTGCACCACTAGGCTAAGTCAAAGTGCCTACAGACTTGTGTCCTCTGCAGTGCCCAGCGGTTCCCGCTCCGGACCCCTACATAGCCACACTGACTGTGTTGATGGGGCAATCAAGCTATTTTTTTTGCCTTCCAGCCATGGTGGTGGAAGGAAAGAAGATGATTTTTGTTTAAATTTTTGGGGTTCATTTGATTTTCTAATGGTTATTGTAATCAAATTGGCGTTTTGACTGCAGTGACCAGAAAATTTGAAGCAGCATTTTTCTTGAATTCATTTCTAACAGTAATAAAATATTGTAGCTGCTGACTTCTATTATAAGGATATGCCAATCAGTGATCACATAAATAGTAAGCAAGATGTCACTTGTGACATCATTGCTTACTACATGTGAAATCTGTGAATGATCACAGAGGTCACATGGTACAAGGCTATTCACAACAGTATTTCTCAATGGCTACAATAATGCAGCCAGAAAAGAAGAAGAAATGATTGCTTTTACAGCCTTTATGAGTGTAAAAGTAATCAGGGTAAAGAAAAAAAAATTCATCACCCCCCACAAGTAGTACAGTGTCACCATATCACTATGGTGACACTGTACTGCTAGGGTGTCAGTATTTAAAAAAAAATACAAAAAAAACCCATAAATAATATAAAAAAAATAAAATGTAAGAAAAAGAATTTAGAAAAATTATAATTTTTGGTTATAAACTAATTTGGGTTATTTTTTTTTACTAAAAAGATAATTGAATACATTTTGGTCAAGATTTATGAAGAAAGATTATTTATTGCAAAATTTTATAAGAAAATCACTTTTTTTTCAAAATGTTTGGACTTTTTCATTTATATAGCAAAAAAAAAAATTTAAATCTCAGTGCTGTGCAGAGAAATACACAGCAGCATGTTACTGCTGGAAGGAGAGAGACTTGTGTTTACACACAGGTCTCTCCCGTCACTGTTTCACAGCGACGGGTGCCAGTGGGCAATCTCCAGCCGGGACTCGGTGAACGACATCTGTAGACGCCAATGGCTGCACGCGCGCCCCCTACCCCAGAGATGCAAATCGCACATATATATATACACAGTTTTGCACAGCCCTGCTGCCCTGTAGCAGTATTTCTCCTATAGGGCAGCAGGGAACCAGTGTAAAAGCACAAAAGACTGGGTGATCACATGTAGTTACTTACTTCGCACTTCCTGTAGGAAATCCAGGCAAGGTCGGCTAGTTCCAGAGATACTTAATGATACAGCTAGAGGGGTCTGTCCTTCATAGTTCCTAGTGTTCGTGTCGGCCCCATAATTGTACAACATACGGGCGCAAAGGACATCATCCCGCAGAGCCGAAAGGTGAAGAGGTGTCTGCCCATCTTCTAGCCTCCCCAAGTTCGTATCAGCCCCTCTTTGCAAAAACATGCGACAATATGAATGGTTACTTTTGATCACAGCATAGCGTAGCAGAAACCCGTTTTGAATATCAATGTTGGCGTTGTGGTCCAGGAGAATTTTGACGCAGCTGGATCTCTCTCGGATGATGGCGAGCTGCAGGGGAGTGGTGCCCTTGTCACTAAGCGGATCAACCTCAGCTTTAAACTCCAACAGTAACCTGACAAAAGAATCTCTTCCATAGTGGGCAGCCACATGTAGCGGTGTCCAACCATCATTGCTCTTGGCATTAATGATGTCACTGCGATATTCCGATTCCAACATCAGACGTGCGATTCGAGCCCTTCCATGCATGGCAGCATAGTGTAATGCTGTAAAGCCCCCTATCAAGTCCTTTACTGTAGGATCCGCTGAATAGAAAAAGAAAGACAACAAAAAAGTGATTACAGAAAATCTTTTAGTACACACTTGGCAAATATTTGTTTGATATAAAACTGAATCCAGGGCCACTCATCCACATGTGCATACAGCCGCGTTGTCTGTCAACCTGTCACTGACTTGTACAGGCGGCTGCTCTGTATACTGTACAGCTCCCTGTGGCTGTGTGGATGAGGCCTTGATTTCAATAACTGAAACATGTTTACAAAATTATTTACCAGCAGTTAACCAAGTGCTTATCTGGAAATTATACACCAATATACACATGAAGGAAGCCAGTACTGAAAGACATATTTAAAGTGGTAGTAATGTCAAAAATGTAAAAATCCATCAGTGGTAATGCGATCTGAGCTGCGCATGCGCGGCTCAGATCACATTAACGCCAGCTATGCGTGCTGCAGCGATTTGACTCCTGTGAACATGCACAGGAGTGACGTCACCTGAGGCCTGGCCAATCAAGTGGCTGAAGATGAGGAACCCTGAAGCAATAGTGGGCGGACATGGAAGCCACTAGGGAGAGCCATGACAGCGCAGCGCTGCAGGGTTCCCTTTGCAGATAAGTCTGTAATGATGTGTTCGTATACAGTGCACACTAGTACATTAAGAATAAAAGCAAACAAGGGCGCACTCTCATCGTGCATTAACATGGTACACCGTGTATTTATTGAAAAAAACATCTAGATATATATGTCAGGACAGGGGCCGAGGAACGGACAGGCAGGCCTAACAATGTAACGCACTGGCTGACGACAACCACTACCCACAGACCGAAGTCCCTCAGGGCGCGGAGTCTAAGTCCCAGGCTGCCCTTCACCAGGGCCCCTGATGGTGGGGATGGACTTGACGCAGCCAGGAACCAGGTCGCGGCCCCCGAGACACCTCAGCTGCGGTAATGGCCGCCGCCAATGGCGTGTAGCTGGTGGAAGAGACAAAAGAGTAGTCAGACAAGCCGGGTCAACAACAACAGGACAAAACAGTACAGGACAGCAGACGAGAATCACAGGTCACGAGCCGGGTTCAGCAACAGAGGGTCAGATCAAGGGAGAATACAAAGAATAGTCAAGTCACAAGCCGAATCAGATACCAGGAGAGTCACGAGAGTCAGAACAGAGTAATAGCAACACAAAGACACAAGACACAAGTGCAAAGAGCATGTGCGGGCCACAGGCTTATATGTCATCAGCCACACCCCCCTCTGGGGGATGGACCACAGAGACCTGAAGGCATAAAAGGATTCCCATCATGCACAGCAGAATCCAAGATGGACGCCAGCACATGGAGTAACATAACCTCAGGGAAAAGGTAGGACCTTGACAATATACTCACAAACCAAAAGAGAATAAAAACAGAGCAGGTAGTCCGCAATATCAGTCCAATGGAATACTGTGCCCTTAACTGGGATAGGCTGACGCGTTTCGGGAGACGAACTCCCTTCTTCAGAGCTGAAATGTAAACCTGCTGATCCAACATATATGTGCCAAAGAATGCTAAAGAGGTCAAACCCCCCCCCCCCCCCCCCCCCCCCCCCCCCCTCCGCACATGTGACGGCCCAATCGAAAAGAGCCAATCGACTCCACCTCCAGCAACAAACAAAAAAAAAAACACAACACAGCAAAAAAAAAATATTTAAATTATATAAATATAGTGTATTGGTAATCAATAATAATTGGCAATGCCACATCAATGAATGAGTGAACTATACTCACATATAGTGCCAGGATATGCATGAATCAATGACCTGTGCAATGGGACACGTATCAAAGGTGGCAATCTACTGCATGAGGAACACAAGGTAGTATATAGTAGTTAATTATTAAATAACAGATGTGTGCCCCCATAGATGTGAGAACCAGCGTGGCTTCTGTATGCTAAACTAAAAAAATGCAATGGCAATGCTTAATGAAATGGAATAAAATAATATAATATTGGGCTGTCATGTTTGCGGGGGGGGGGGGGGTCTCTGATAATGTACTACTATGCGGTGCATACTAGTACATTATGTCTTCAACCTGCAGGGGGGGGGGGGGGGGGGCACTTTTTTAGTCTCTTAATGAGACTTTACTACCACTTTAAACCTGCCTGAGGACCATTTTTCAAACTTTACTTAGGTAACTATCCTACTGCTTTAAAGTGCTTGTAAACCTTTGAAATTAAAAATGAACAAAGCACATCCTTCTAAAGTGTGTGATTTGTCTGCTGTCTCCTTCCTCTGCTATGTGCACGAGTCAGTTCTGACAGGTTATGCCCGTGATTGATAGCCTCAGCTGTGCAGGTTTCCCTATGAGACTTTGAAGGGGGGGGGGGTGTCCATTCCCTCCACTCAGGTCTCAGATTACACTCAGCTCCTTGCTCTATGATGTGCAGTGTGTGACATCAGATCCCTGCCTGCTGATCAGAAATGCTGTGCCAACTGTAAACTTTGAATGGCTATGGATAAAAGAAGGCTGCAAATAAACAGGTACAACTAATGTAGAAGGATTTGTTTCATCACCTGAGGCCAGCCACTTCAGTGGATATATGTAAGGGTTTGCAACCACTTTATGTGCCATTGCTGACCCCTGTATAGGGCTGATGTCACATGGGTGATTGTACAGCTGGGGACACATCACTGGTAGCAGAATCTCCTAAGAGAGGCTTCCACTTACTTCTATGGAATTGCTCCCCTGCTGGCCAGAAATGCCTATAAAATATAACTAGAGGCTAAACTTTTTTTTTTAGTTTTGGATCAAGTGGAGATGGATTAGAAAACCTAATAGGTCTTGTCTGCTGTCTGTGCCCCTGTTAGGGATATTCCCCCTATTTGTCCTGTTTTATCACAATCTTCAAAAGTAAAAGTAAAGAAAAACCCCTAAATTTTGGGTTGTCCTCTGAAAAGTAATAGAGGGAGAATTTTCCAATGGAGACACTAGTTCTGTTGATCTGGGGGTCCCCAAAGAACTCCTTTAACCACTTTCCTACCGGGCACTTACACCCCCCTTCCTGCCCAGGCCAATTTTCAGCTTTAAGCACTGTCACACTTTGAATGACAATTGCGCGGTCATGCAACATTGTACCCATATGAAATTTTTATATTTTTTTGAGACAGATAGAGCTTTCTTTTGGTGGTATTTAATCACCTCTGGGTTTTCTATTTATTGCTAAACAAACCAAAAACAACTGAAAATTTTGAAAAAAAAAATGTTTTCTCTTAGTTTTTGTTATAACATTTTGTAAATAAGTGATTTTTCTCCTTCACTGATGTGCGCTAATGAAGCTGCAGTGATGGGCACTGATGAGGAGGCACTGGTAGGTGGCACTGATGGGCATTGACCGGTATCACTGATGGGCACTGAAAGGCAGCACTCATGGCACTGATAGGCGGCACTGAAAAGCAGCTCAGATGGGCACTGATAGGTGGGCACTGACTGGCACTATTAGGCAGCACAGATAGGCAGCACTGATAGGCAGCACTGACTGGCACTGATTGGCAGCACTGATAGGTAGCACTGACTGGCATTGATAGGTAACACTGAAAGGCAGCTCAAATGATATGTGGCATTGATGGGCACCGGTGGCAGCTGGCGCTGATGGACACTGACAGGTGGCACTGCTGGGGCTACACTGATGATCAGTGCCCTGATGATCAGTGCGCATGTCCCCTCCGAGGAATGCCGATTCCTGGCTCTTGTCTCCTCTTGAGCTGTCAGCATGACAGCTTGTGAGGAGAGAAATGCCAATAACCGGCATTTCCCTATTTACATGTGATCAGCTGTGGTTGGACACAGCTGATCACATGACCGAGCCGTCATCTTTGGCTCTTTCCATTGATCGGTGATCTGCTGTGTCCGAGGGACACAGCGCACCACCGATCGCCAAGCTGCGCGCTCCTGGAGCCGCACACGCACGGTTAGAGTGGGAGGACGTCATATGACGTCCTCCCAGAACGAGAGAACCGCCTTGCGCCCGTCATTTCCTTATATGGCGGGTGGGAGGCGGTTAATTTTCAGGGATTATCTTTTCCCATTTTGGCTATGGGACAGGAAGTGAAGGTGAATCTCCCCAATTGGAGACAAATGGCAAAAAATATCCCTCCCTTACTCTATCCAAAATGAAAATAAAATGTTTTGCCTATAGCTCTACTTTTAAATTTGCTTTACCGGTTAAGGAACAACACATTGCTGGTCTGGGAGCAACTACAGAAAAAAGGTAAGTGGTCATTATTGATTCTGTGAAATGACTTAAGTCTTGAACAAGTATGCAGGCTGGGAGTTCCTAATTCAGCAACCGTATGCTTGCTCTGGGTCCGTGACTCAATGAAAGCCAGGGACTATCAGACAACTAGCATTTTCAAAAGGAGGTCGGCAATGGCACCCTAGATCAGTGGTGGGCAACCTTTTTTTTCAACTGAGCCAAATCTCGCCAAAAACCACGATTGAAATTTATTTTGAGAGCCACATTTTTAAAACTGAAAATACATCCCCCATATAGTAATTCATCCCCCATATAGTAATTTCATCCCCCATAGTAATTCATCCCCCATATAGTAATTCATCCCCCATAGTAATTCATCCCCCATATAGTAATTCATCCCCCATATAGTAATTCATCCCCCATATAGTAATTCATCCCCCATATAGTAATTCATCCCCCATATAATAATTCATCCCCCATATAGTAATTCATCCCCCATAGTAATACATCCCCCATATAGTAATTCATCCCCCCTATAGTAATTCATCCCCCCCTATAGTAATACATCCCCCATCATCCCCCATATAGTAATTCATCCCCCATATAGTAATTCATCCCCCATATAGTAATTCATCCCCCATATAGTAATTCATCCCCCATTTAGTAATTCATCCCCCATATAGTAATTCATCCCCCATATAGTAATTCATCCCCCATATAGTAATTCATCCCCCCTATAGTAATTCATTCCCCATATTGTGTCAATTCACTTACCTTTGCTCCGCGCGTTCCTCTCGCCGTG